AAGGAGGAAGCTAGGGCCATCAGACCTCTTCAAGTCTCCTTTGACCACACTGGATTGTTTAACATCACAGATAGGATGTGCAGTGGTGAAGGATACAGACTTTGCAGCCATATGCTTTGATCCGACCCCTGACTCTCCCACAAACTAGCTGTATGATGTAGGATTACTCCCTCTACCTCGGCCCACGACATTTCTTCATCTGCCATATTGGGATAACAATAGTATCTCCCACAGACTTTTCATGTTTGAGAAATAAATTAAATGTGTAATATACTTCAGCCTTTGAGAGCAGTGATCAGCAATATTAGGGCTGTGTAAGTGTGGTGGTGGTCAGTCTCTCAGTCGTGTCTGACTCTTTGTGACCCCATGAACTGTAACCTGCCAGGCTCCTCTTTCCATGGGCTTTTTCAAACAAGAATACCTGAGTGGGTTACCATTTCCTACTCTAGAGGATCTTCCTGACCCAGGGATCAAATTCTGGTCTCCTACATCTTTGGCATTGAACTCAAATTCTTTTACTGTTGAGCCACCGGGGTAAGCATAAGTGATAGTCATTATAAAACATTGTCATCAGTAAAGAACAATGCAAAAGATTGTTCAGATGCACAAAATCATGATATACTGAGTCAAAACAAGTTAAACAAGAAGTGTCTTGTCAAAATTGGGGGTCACGAGGCAGTTAGTACTAGGTAGATGAACTGGATTTTGTCCCTACTCTATTTCTTAAAGAATGAATGAATGAGGCCTGAAGCGCTGAGCCAGTTTGAGAGCATAATAATTAAAAAAAGACACTTGATCTGAAAGTGAAAACCCTACCTGTGAGGAGTGGCTTAGACCCATTTTACTTGAGTAAATGATTCACCTGCCAAGCACTGTTTCTACATCTTTAAAATAGGCAGGTCAATGCAGGTCAATAAGTTTCTAAGGTGCATATTCCAAACCCAAAATTCCATCCCGCCTAGTTATCCTCTGAAATGTTATGAAAGATAATGTGGTTCTGTCTTTAGAAGTCTTAAAAAGACCCTGATGCTGGGAAAAATTGAAGGTAGGAGGAGAAGGGGATGACAGAGGATGAGATGGTTGAATGGCATCACCGACTTGATGGACATGAGTTTGAGCAAGTTCCGGGAGTTGGTGAAGGATAGAGAATCCTGGCCTGCTGCAGTCTGGGGGGTCGCAAAGAGTCGGACATGGCTGAGCGACTGAACTAAACTGATTTACAAACCTAAGGAATTTTCAAAATGGATTATCAAGTTGAAGATAATATCATTTTTGGTGTTTTCTGAGTCATAATGCTGGCTTTCCTGGTGGCTCAGATGGTAAAGTATCTGCTTGCAATGTGGGAGACCCAGGTTCAATCTCTGGGTTGGGAAGATCCCCTAAAGAGGGGAATGGCTACCCACTCCAGTATTCATATCTGGAAAATTCCATAGACAGAGGAGCTGGCAGGCTACAGTCCATTCAAGAATCTGAACCATGAAGAAATCTTTAAATCCATGAAAATGGATTATCTTTAGCAAACACTATACCTTTTAAAGCTCTTAGATTGTGACAATAAAACTGATAAGGACATTTTCCCATTTATCTTAAATGAATTTTTCAGAGATTCTAAGAAAAAAGAATAATCCATAGGCATCTAATGTTAACTTACCATTAACACATACAGAATGAAAGTAGAATTCTTACCGAGTTTAGCTTAGCTATTCTCAACTAAATGAAATAAAGCTGATTTAGTTGAGCTTTTAAGACATGGCGGTGGGAAGCATAAATCCGAAGGATTTGGGGGAACTAGCGCCAGGACTGCCTTTCTTCAGATTGTGTTCCTTGAGGCTGGGTTCCCCAGAGCTGCCTCAGTCATGACTGAGGGTTGGAAAGAAGCTTCGAGAGAGCCAGCTGAGGACTAGTCCCCTTCATAGGTTTTATAAATTGCATAATGGCATAAAGATTTTACTTGGGGAGAAAAAAGATTCTGTTATGGAAGAAAAAAGGGGGTGGGAGTGTGATTCAAAAATAGAAAGTGTGGATTAAGAATATGGGCTTTGGGTCAAAGAAAATTTAAATTTTGGTTCTGCTACTTCTTAGTTAAGTGATATTGGGCTGGTCGTTTAATCTCTCTTAAGCCGTGCTTTGCACATTTAATGTTTTCTTACTTCACAGGATGACTCTGAGGATTTCATGAGCTAATACATATAAAACACTTGACCCATAACTTCTAGAACATAGCAAGCTCTCAATAAATGGTGCTACACCATCCTAAATGAATCACAGGGTGGATCATTCTGCCCTCCCTTTTGGCGACCTTCTGAGGTTTCTTGTGAAAGGTCTCAGAGGTGTAGGAAGCACTAGTTAAGCTTTCATCAAAATTTGGGTCCAAACCTCCATGTTTTTAGCAAGCCCTAAAAAATCTATGGGTTTTTTCCCCAAGATCTATTCATAGTTTAATGTGGGCATTGGACAAAGGTTCATTTTGTAAGACTGTCTAAGTAGGTTAAAAATAAAATATGCAGAAATCTGTGGAACTTCAACAATAGAATAGAAGAAAAATGGATTATTCTTAGCTGAGAACAAAGGCATTCTAGTATACAAATGTGCATAAAGATGCATAGAGAAGATCTGGGAAAGATAGATGCCAACATTTACCTCTGGATAAGAGAGGCAGAGGGATTTACCTGGGTTTTATCTTAATGTTTTACACATTTATTTACATATCAGCTGTGTAATTAAAGGCCCCAAACAAACAAAGGAATAAAAAAGCAAAACCTAAAGCAAAGTCATGGTACAAACTGAAATGAACTTTCAGAAAAGATAATGTATGGACAAGAATCAAAGACTTTATCCATTAAGGCCCTCCATGACTTGACACAAAGGCATATTCTGCTGTTTTGTCCTTGAAGAGTAAGGACAAGAGGGGAGGTTTCTGATACTATCTCCAGAAAATGATAGACCTAGGTTCAAAGGCAAATGAAGCTGCTGGGCTGGATGCATGTGTGTGTGCTAAATTGCTTCAGTCATATCTGACTCTTTGGGACCCCGTGGACTGTAGCCCACCAAGCTCCTCTGTCCATGGGATTCTCCAGGAAAGAATACTGGAGGGGGTTGCCAGGCTCTCCTCCAGGAGATCTTCCTGACCGAGAGATAGAACCCATGTCTTTCAGGTCTCCTACATACCTTGGTTTCAAGTTCTTTCTCTCTGCAAGCACTCAGGTTAGACATCAGTACCCTGGCTAGTTCTTTGCAAAATGCAAGGTCTACAGAGGCAGCAACTGAAGGCTACCGTTAAATTCTGCTTTTAAGCAAAGAAGAAACTAGATAGTAAATTAACAGTTACTATAGCACATTTTGATAGCAAAGAAAATAAGAGAAAACTTAAAATCTACCTGACAGTTACTCAGTTGATCAAATATATCTGATTGAGAAGTATTAAAGTAAATAAATAAACACAAGCCAAAAGCCAACCAACCAAAAAAAAAAAAAATCACCATCACTGTCCCCTCAGTACCACCAAATTAATTAATTAAATGAGAGTAAAGAGTTTTAACTACTGAGTTATGAGCTCTGGCATTGTTTATTTATTATCAAAACATTTGTTTACTGTGTTGGAAATTGTTTTTTACAAAGTGCCCTTTCCTTGGAAAGAAATATCTTGGCTACAGGGAAAATGAAGAAACGTGGTGGACTCTGAGAAGTAGCATCGCCTTGCTCCAGTTCAACTTGAGTTTCCTCCAGCGGGAGTCCTCCTTGCCAGCTGCCGAGGCCTCTGGAGCAGAAGCCAGGACAATGTGGGTTTTGCTTTGGTTTTAATGAATATGTTTTGACCCATGGACTTTAGGGAAGGTTTTGCTCTAGTGATGGGAATTCAGTCACAGGTGTGTGGGAAACTGTGTTAACCCTCTGGCTGGGACCGACATGCTGTTCCCAGCCCTGCCTTCCCAGCTTGCCCGCTTGGTGCAGGACGTATTCCAGCCCAGTTCGCTGTGTTTTGGTGGTTTAAGTGAAGGGCAGTATTTCCGGATCAGCACTTGAAAGACCTGAATGAAGGAATCGAGAATGAATGAAGAGAATCATTTTGCTGGAATTGCCCTAGGGTATCAAATAGACCAGGGCAGCTGGGGGCTGGAGGAATGTCAGTCATCAGCTGCTTAACAATCATTCATTTCTTACCTCCCACTTACGTGTAAATTTGCAGATTTACGCAGACCACCAGTGGGACCATTACAATGAACTGAGTTTATTGTGAAACACAAGGAAAACCCCCTCCCTTTTCTTTGCTCATTTACAAGCAGTGAACATTAACGTCCTGAATAAAGAACAAGAATTTAAGAAATAAAAGTATACTGCTGCATAACCCCATATTATCACTTGAATTCACACTGCCCATGAAAAGAAAGACGGTTGTACCAAGTAAAATTGAGGCAACTTGAAATAGAGGATTTAAAATGCTGGACTCCATCAGTTCTCTGAAAGGTCATTCTCGTCCTTTGCTATTTTTACCATAGAGACTCAGCAAGTTATTGGCTGGATGGATCTGGGAAGCTAGAAGCTGCTGCTTCTGAGGCAGGAAGATGATAAAGCTGCATTTGAGACTGAGTGAATGAAAGGTGTGGGAAAAGTTGAAGCCTTCAAAGATAAGAGAGAGCGAGAGCGCACCACGGAATTAGTCCCCAACCAAATCAACTAGCCAATAACTGTACCCAGGCCAATTCTCTTTGAAACTGCTTGTAATCTTGTGGCTTTGGTTGGGAAATCCCCTTTCCCGGCTCTAAACCATCCTTAGGGCATCTCAGCCCAACCCCCTCCTCCCAAAGCAACTCTGCCTAGGCGCCCCCACCCTCAAATCTGCATCAAGTCAGGTCTATTTCCCAGCTGGACCCCTGCCACCAGACACACACGAGTTCCATTCCGGGCTTTGCCACCGAAACTCGGGCTTACCTCCGGCAAGCAATCAAAGGCATTTCAGACAAGAGCAGAAAACAAAAGAAGCAAACAAAACCTGTCCTTACCCGCTTCTTAAAAAATTGGAAGGCTGAGCATTTCTTGACTGGGAATCCATTCATGTCTTTGTTTACCATTTTCCACAGTGGGGAGTTCACGGTTAACAGATCCAGGGTGGCCCCCACCTGGTCAACGCATCTGGTTCCCGACTTGCCTCCTGGAATAGTTGACGAAGACGGAGCGGGATGGAGAATCCAGCGCGGCTCAGGTTTTCACTCACACATTCTGCAGCACCGGCTACTGCAGCAACCTCTCCCCGCTCTCAGTTTCCACCGACAGTGGCTCTTCTCTTTCCATCACGGCTCCGAAAGGCAGGCATCACCGCAACAGGACCCCAGGATGCCCCGGATTCCGAGGAGAGGCTCTGGCTGCTGCCCAGCAGGAGAAGGGCACCCCCTGCGCGCCCCCAGCTACCTGGCGGCTCTGCGGCGTGTGCACTGGGAGAGTCGCTCTGCTCCAGGTGATGCGCTTGTGGAGGCTGCCGGAGAGGAGAGCTGTTTTTGATTGTGCAAGTTCCAGCGAGAGCTGTAGTTAAGCAGCTGAGAGAAGGAGTAAGAAAGAGCAGAAGCCAGAGGAAAGGGAGGGGGGCGGGGGGCGGGAGAGCCGCGCCAGAAAAGCGGAGGGAGAGGGAAAGCAGTGCTGGAAGACACAGCGATTCATGAATATCTGAGCAGCGCGGATGGAGGGTAGGCATCAGCGCAGGATGCACTGAAAAGCTGTTGGCTCCCTTCGGGAGGTTTACTTTAATAGCTTTCCCCCCTTTTCTTTTTGTTAGGATCCTCTAAATCAGACTTTCTTATAACATGCAGAATGTTTTAATTTTGTGCTCATTGAAATTCTGTTGATACATATTCCTGGGGGCGGGGAGGGGACGGTTCTCAATAGAAATTTAATCAAATTTATTCCCGATCTGTCCAAATGTGGAGAAAAATAAAGTGTAACAATGGATGATCTCTCATTATCTAGAACCTTGCTAGTGTCCTCTTCCTACTTGTCATGAGATAATAGGCAACTGTGAACATTAGTGTGTGTATGTGTGTGTTTTCCACTAAAGGAATCTGTTTTAAAAAGCACACAATGGGCATATATCCAAAGTGGCTTATGCAAAAAATACAAAGGGCATTACCAAAAAGTGTCACTGAATCCATTTAACAGAAGGGAGGACTCAAAATGAATAAGAGGGGAAAGAGTTTTTTTTTTTTTTCCCATCAAGTGAAAATCTACCCTTCCTCATTTTTTACTCATGTTATTCTTTGCACATTCAATTCATTTTGAAGAGCCATGTGGTTTGTGTGTGGCCAATTTTTCCATGTTTACTTTTACCTGGCGATATTTTATGGGGATTTTTTAACAAAGTTGATAGCTAAATGGAGAAAGCAAAGAAAACAATCTTGGCATCCAATTGGGCACTGCTACGACATCAGTGTGTGGCTTTCTGCCAGTCGACTGACCTCACGGTGCCTCTCAGAAGGTGCCTCGTCCATGAAATAGAGGCAGTCACTCACTCGTTCATCACTCATTTATTAACTTAGTCATTCTCTTGTTTGCTGCGTCATTCCGTGTATCTATTATATCCAAATGGAGCAAGTGTCCCAGGATGTAGAGCCTTTTCAATGTCACCACAAAGGAATATAGTTAATAAATGAGGGAAAGGCACAATGTCTGCTTGATAAAATGAATGCCCAGCTCATTAAAAGCGATATGCCTAACATTGTTAACATATTTATAAGACGGTCTGTGGCAAGGTTAACTGGGAAAGAGATGCACTGATTTCATTGAATGGGAATATACATCTTTAGAGCTGGGCCAGGGTTGGTGGGGAATAACAATGAAATCTTGTTAGCTAAATGCCTTGAGATTTCCAAAAGAAAATGTAGCATGACCACATGATGGTATTATAACTGAAGAAAAATACATGCTTTATTTTAGAGAGATATGTTAAGTTGTCTGAAATGCAAGGAGTATATATTGTTTAAACTCCAGCACGTATAGCTTGTTGTGGTTCTTCTAGAGAGTTCATTAAAATTCTGGTAGTTTAAAGAGAATTTTTTTTTTTTTCGTCCCCATCAGGCGGTTTGTAGGACCTCAGTTCCCCCACCAGGGACTAAACCCAGGCCATGGCAGTGAAAGCACAAAATCCTAACCGCTAAGCAACCAGGGAACTCCCCAAAGAGAATTTTTGAGGCAGGTAGAAATATCCTTTATCATGATGATGGGGTGGATTATATGATTATACATTTGTCAAAATTTATCAGACTTTATATATGAAGGAGGAAAATTTTACTCTATGTAAATTACAGTTCAATAAATCTGATTAAAATAAATCATAGCCATTCAAATTCTTTCCTGCTTCTTATACTGCCCCTTCCTTAAAAGTATTTAAGAGATATTAATTGAATTTGAGTGATATGCAAAAGAAGACCTCTCTAAGCATCCTGCTGGAAGTGGGAACTAGGGACCTTGCCTTGATTCCACACTGATATAGCACACATACTGGTTTTAAGTGCACTGTACACTTATTTGGAGTGAAGAAGGGAAGGGTAATAGAAACCAGAGAGGAGGAGGTGAGGATAAAGCTAAATCCTATCCCTCCTCACCACTATATGCCACCCCCTGGAGCTGCTACATTGCCACTGAGCCTGTGTTAGATCCTGTGGTAGGTCCCGTGAGTGCAAATATCAATAGTTCATGTTCCTAAGGAAGTCACAGCCTACTGAAGAAACACATATTGTGGAAAGAATGATATATTATTGTATGTTATAAATGACATATATTATGTAATATATGCCGTTGTTTTTCAATCACCAAGTCATGGCTGGCCCTTTGTGACCCCATGGACTGCAGCATACCAGGCCTCCCTGTCCCTCACCATCTCCCAAAAGTTTGCCCAAGTTCCTGTCCATTGCACCAGCGATGCCATCCAGCCATTTGGATATATCCTCCATATCCAACATATCCTCTGTTGCTGTCTTCTCTTTCCGCCTTTATATGTTATGTAATAAGAATATACCTATTATATATGATTCCATATGTACAAGTGTTAACTTCACCTTGGTTCAGAGGGGTGGCTGAGTGGTTTAGAGAGGAAGGCCTGGGAAGTTGTCCTCAAAGTTAGTTCAGAACTTTAAAGAATAAGTAGAGGTTGGTCAGAAGGAGAAGCAAAGGGCAGGGGTTCTGACCGGATCAGGTAGCCTATTATTTGAGATGATATTTTGATCACTGTAATAATAGATCAGTGTGTTTAACTGTACTGTGTTGGCTTCTCAGGGAAAAGCAAGCATCTCTCATCTGTTACTTCTCTTTTCATAAATAAAACTGCCTGCCGGTAGGCTCAGAGTAACTACTCTTTATAAATTTCTCCTTTGCCAAGCTCATTAGTATCTACAAAGGACCATAGACTACCTCTTATGGTAGAACAGAAAATAACCCCTGGACTCTGATAATATCCTGCTTACATATTAAACTTGTTTCAATTTAATTCATTTATTTTCTTACTTTTTTTTTTTCATTGAACATGCTCATTCATTTCTGTAGCTTCAGCATACAGTTATAGTGCCTGGACCATGCTAGGCACTCAATGAATGTTTTTTAAATGAATCGAAAAAAACAAAGACACTGTGTAAAGCTAACATCAGTGACTCTGGCACCAGGCCATTAGTAAGAATTGTTAAATATTTTTGAAATTCTTAAACCATAAAGTAAACTCCCATCATTATTAATGTGCTGAGCTCTAATTACACCCAATAATCCTAAATTCTTCCCAGTTCTTTTAGAGTCAATGACTTTGAGACCCTGGGATGACACATCTTTTTTATTAAAAAACTCTCACGTTAAAAAGAATCTCTTAATACTCTATTTGCTTTTTGGAATATATTTACTTTTCCTCTCAAGTATAATGTTTAGACTATAACACAAAGAATAAAATAAAGCAAATAGGTAGGACTGACTACCAATATATAAAAGACATGGAGAGAGGCTATGTTGATTTGGAAGATCTGGTTACTAATCTCCATTCCCTAATTGTATGACCTTGAATGCTGCTGCTAAGTCGCTTCAGTCGTGTCTGACTCTGTGCGACCCCATAGACAGCAGCCCACCAGGCTTCCCTGTCCCTGGGATTCTCCAGGCAAGAACACTGGAGTGGGTTGCCATTTCCTTCTCCAGTGCATGAAAGTGAAAAGTGAAAGTGAAGTCGCTCAGTCGTGTCCGACTCTGCGGGACCCCATGGACTGCAGCCCACCAGGCTCCTCCGTCCATGGGATTTTCCAGGCAAGAGTACTGGAGTGGGATGCCATTGCCTTCTCCGATGACCTTGAATAAGTCCCTTCAATTTACTGAACTTTAGTTTCCTCATCTATAAAATAATAACAATATGCATTCCATCTGCCTCATAAGGCAATTGTCAGTATCAATGCAAAAAATAAATCTCACTGATGGTTGATTTACAATGTTATGTTAGTTTCAGGTGAACAGCAAAGTGATTCAGCTATACATATATATGCATATTCTTTTTCATATTCTGTTCCATTATAGGTCATTGCAAGATACTGAATACAGTTCCCTGTGCTGTACAGTAAGTCTTTGTGGGTTATCCATTACATATAAAAGCATGTATATTCTAATTCCAAACTCCTCATCTATCCATCTCCTGCTTGCTCCTTGGGTAACCCTAAGTTCGTTTTTTATGTCTGTGAGTCTGTTTCTATTTTGTATGTAAGTACATTTCCATCATTTTTTTTTAGATTTCACATACAATTGATATCATATGATATCTGTCTTTCTCTTTCTGACTTACTTTACTTAATATGTTAATTTCTAGGTCCACCCATGTTGCAGCAAAAGTATCAAATAATATGTATTAATAAAAAGGCCTTGTAAAATAATACCTAACTCTACATTTTTGGTTTTACTGAAGTAAGACAGGTATACTGCTGTCGTACTTTTTAGAAAGTTCACCTTCCATAGATCAAATTGTTTTCTGTGTCATACACTTAGTTGCTAAATGGAATGTGAATTCTTTTTTTTTTTCCACAAAGCAACCTGGAAAACATAAAAGATAAACAACAAAAGATCTATC